AGCGACCGGTCGGTTCAGAGAAGAAAATCGAAGTCTGGAGACTCTGTGGAAAAGTGACCGGTCGCCTAGTCCTGGCGACCGGTCGCCCCGACTTTGCTGTTTCAGTTTTCTACGCGTTTTCAAGTCTTCCTTTGTGTGCTATCACTTTCTATCGACTTGCAAGGATATTTCTGATCAATTCTGAGATATTAGAAGGTGGCAAGCAGCTGGAAAGATGGGGAGAACACTTTGGCAAATTGATGACTTGCTTCAATGAGTGAATACTCTCTTGGTTCAAGAGATATATGGCAGCTATCATCCATTGTTCCCTTGCTTTGTGAGCTGCCAAGAACAGGTGTCTAAAGTTATATAACTAAAGCAAGAACGTGCAGAACTTAATGATACCTTATCTTGGAGTCCAAAGGCCTATATAAGAGGGAAGAGGAAGCAAGAGAACATTAAGTTGTTAAGAGCATAATTTTGTGCAAAGTATAGAGAGTTGTAGAGAAGCTGGAAACTTATAAGTTCAGAAAATACCAAGGGGAGAGCAAGAGAGTTCTCTAAGTGTATCAAGTTGTTGAGCAAGGGTGAGAGAGAAACAGATTGTGAGGGTAGATTTCTAAGGGGGTTTCCTTCTTTGTAAACCAAAGTTGTAATCTATCTTCATTAGTGAAAGTTCTCAAGGAGATCACCAAAGAGGAAGTAGGCATTTGGCTGAACCTCTATAAACACTTGTGTCATTTCTATTTGGTTAAATTTCTGTGTGTGTGTAAGACTCATCCATCATAGAGTTTGTCACAAAGTTCATCAACAACAAGGTCCTAAGGGGAAGTGAGTTAGTCTTAATTCACAACATGCAGCACCAGCGCTTAGGCCTACCATGTCTGCAGCAGTGAGTATGCTTGAAGGGCGGACGGCTGTTTATGAATTGGTCACGGATCCAAGTACTTACGGTGATGAACTGATGCTAACAGCCTTGACAAACCAGTTTGATGACAATTCATCACAGAACCCAAGTGAAACTCAGAGCCTTATTCCTTCATCATCAGATGCACCGGGGATTGGTTCTTCTGCTACTACTACGTCTTCTGATCTCTATAAAATCAATCCCAGTACTAGTTCTTGCTAATGTAAATGCTAGGACTCAAGATTTTACGTTGGAAAAATAACATATCTTAAAGTGATTTATGAGCTCTTAAACATTATTTTCTTACAAATCGGTTTTTAGAGGTAAGTTTTACCCATGAACTATTCACAATAAACATTTCTTCGCGCTTAACTACGCAAATGCTCGTGTAATGATAAACTAACTAGTAGTAGTACATATCTTTTGAAATAAAAATATTTGGTTTTTGCAAATACATAAAGATCAAGCTCTATCTCTATGTGACAAAGCTGAGCAAAGGCATGAAAAAAGGCATGCATCGGTTCCACTTGGAGAGGAAAGTCTGAACACCTCAAACTCGAAGTGAGAGCTTTTGGGTCAATTCCGACTTTTGCATGTGTTTGGGATTTGGAAATTGCAATGGTTCCGGTTGAATTGTTTGACCCGACCAATGATTTTGACTTTTTTTTTTTCTACTTAAATAACAATAAATTAATTATTTTAGATTAACAATATTTTATCAATATTTTAAATTATTTTAAATTTCGACCTACATTTCAAGTTATTATAGATGACCCAAATTATTTCATTCTTATTTATTTCTAATTTTTATTATTATTTTTCTTATATATGTATATTTGGATGATTGAAGAGAAATGCATGCAAGTGGGCTTCAGGGACCCATCCCCTCCAACATATCTCTTTTGAGTAATTAAAAGAGTTGTGAGTAAAAGGCCTTTTCAAGTTTTCTGATTGTATTGTTGTATTATGACTGTGAATGCAGGTTGATTATATCTTTTGTATTGTGATTGTGATAGGGATGTCAGTTTTAGTAGGGGAAGTTCCAGACACTATAAACTTAGAGCGTTTGAGATTCCTGTAAGTATAACCTTGTGATTCATTTAATTATGGCGCATTCAGATTTGAAGTATGGTAATTTACTTATGCCTTTAATTATAAACTACAAAGGTCCATTGCTTGTGATTTTTCTTCCCTAAAAGTTTCTGGGAAATGCTGGACATATTACTGGATAAAGAAGGGACTAAATTTCTGTGACACAAACATGGGCACGCGAATGTCTACATAATTTAAGATTTTTTAATTATATTGGGATAGAAATGCAAGCTTATATCTTTAGGTTGGTGTGTGCTTAATTTTCCCTATATTTTTTGAATAATCTAGTATTGAATATTGATGTAGCATTCTGAAAATTTTGATATTTCTTTCTATAGGATTTTAACTGGAAACTCTATGAGTGGAAGTGTACCTAGCTCAATCTTCAAGGATGGAAGTAATGTGTATGTGTAATTCTTACAATTGACCACTCATTATTTTCTTGGTGATTTTTCAAAAGATAAGGATTGATTTTTCAAGCCAATCCCATTTTTGGTGCGCAAAGTGTAATTCCCGCGTCCCATTTTTGGTACCCGTCAAATTTTTCGAGTACACTTTGCGCGACGAAATAATATATATTGGTCGCGCAAAGTCGTAAATTTTTTGTTTAAAAAAAATTCCCATTTTTGGTACCCGCCCAAATTTTTCGAGTATACTTTGCGCGACGAAATACTATATATTGGTCTCGCAAAGTCGTAAATTTTTTTTTATAAAAAATACCCATTTTTGGTACTCGCCCAAATTTTTAGAGTATACTTTGCGCGACGAAGTACTATATATTGGTCCCGCAAAGTCGTAATTTTTTTTTTAAAAAAATACCCATTTTTGGTACCCGCCAAATTTTTCGACTATACTTTGCGCGACGAAATACTATATATTGGTCGCACAAAGTCGTAATTTTTTTAATTTTAAAATTCCCATTTTTGGTACCCGCCCAAATTTTT